GTAGGATTGTCTTGGCTATGGAAAGATGTTTTCTAGATAGTCTCTGAGAAAACAACATTTTAAGTGATGATTGGCTAGGAGAATATAAAGAGAATGGCATATACGTAATGATAGAGAACTCAGCAAGACACTGGCTTCTTTTAAGTCTCATCAACAAGTATGTATCAGGAATGCTTTCCTAATATTTGACATGCTAACTTCTGTCCCATCCAGAAAATAAAACCATAAATAAAAGGAATTTCTTTCTTTTCCTAAAATAGCTTAATAAGATTAGGAAAACATATTTATTGCCCTGGGTTTAGCTATAAGACCCAAGAAGTTTGCAATCTGTCTGATTAAGGAGACCTTATACATCAAGAAATATCAAACAATATCTGGAAACATGTAATGTTAGATTGAGGTATACAATGATATAGAAGATAGTCAAAGGATGGGAAAGATCATAGGCTTGGATAAGCAGATAACTTCAAAGAGAAGTTATTTGAGCTGGACCTTCAAGAAGAGGCTTTTGAGAGGTAGAGAAAGGACTAATAGGCAAAGTTTTATAAAAGATGAAAGTCTTTTTAGAGTGTGGCTTTCCTTAAAGCTTTTAGTTAATGTGAGGATGCTGCTGGAAAAAAATTAAGTCTTGTTGAAATGAAATTAGGGGTTGATGGCAGTATGATATTTGGCAGGTAAATGAAAACATACATGATGAACAGAAGGCTGACTGCATTTCAGATGTGAAATTTCCTTTTATTGATGTGTAGAGTCAATGAAATCCCCATCAAAATTGTAGTATGCTTTTTTTGGGTTTCGTTTTGTTTTGTTTTGGGAAGAAATTGATCAGGTGGTTCTAAAATTCATATGGAAATGCAAAGGACCTAGGATAACAATTCTGAGAAAGAAGGACAAAGTTAGAGGACTGACCTTATTTGATTTTTCATGACTTGTTATAAAGCTTCAGTAATCAGGACAGTATGACATTGGTATAGAAATATAGATAAATGTAATAGAAAAAAAAAAGGAATAGATGAAAACGTATGGCAGTTAGTTGACATTCAATGAAAGTATAATGATAAAAGACTATACTTTTTCCAATTTCCATTGGAAAAAGTATAGTCTTTTCAACAAAGTGCTAGAACAATTAGATATCCATATGGAGAAATAAAAAATTGGATTACAAACCTTATTTCACACCATATATAAAGTTAATTCAAAATTAATTATAGATATCAACATAAAGCTAATAGTATAAAACCTCTGAAAGAATACAGTGGTGAAATCATTATAAAATCATGTTAAACAAAGATTTCTTAAACAGGACACAAAGTACGAACTATGAAAGAAAAAACTGAGAAGTTAAGCTTTATTAAATCTAAACTTTTGTTCTTTAAGAGAAATGGTTTAGAAATGAAAAGTAAAGCCATAGATAAGGGGATAATATTTGCAAATATATACAAGAACTTGTATCCAGAATAGGAAGAATGCTAATAACAACAAGAAGAATAACCACTGAATTGTTAAAATGTGAACAGAAGATTCAACAGCCATTTCAACGTGGAAAACCTATGACTGGTCAATAGTATGTGAAAATATATTAAACATGAGAGCAATGAAAATTAAAACTTTAATGAGATACAACTGCACACCTAGTAGAATGGCTAAAGATATATAGACAATATAAAGTGCTGAGATGGATGTAGAGAAGTGAAACACTCCCTTATGGCTGGTGGGAATGCAAAATTTTACTGCCACTTAGGACAACAGTTTGGAAGTTTTTAAAAAGTTAAATATACACTTAACTTTTTGATCCAACAATTCCGCTTTAAGATGTTTTCCACTAGAAATGAAAACATATATCTACATAAAGTCTTGCATGTGAATGACAACTTTATTCATAATAGACAAAATCAAGAAACAACTTATATTAGTCCATACTCATGCTGCTATGAAGAAATACCCAAGGGTGGGTAATTGGTAAATAAAAGAGGTTTAATTGACTCTCATTTAGCATGGCTGGGGAGGCCTCAGGAAACCTACAATCGTGGCAGAAAGCATTTCTTCACAGGGCAGCAGGAGAGAGAATGAGTGCTGCACGAAAGAGGAAGCCCCTTATAAAACCACCAAATCTAGTGGGAACTCTCTCACTGTCACAAGAACAGCATGGGGGAAACCAGCTCCATGATTCAATTACCTCCCATTGGAATCCCTCCCACAACATGTGGGGATTATGAGATTACAATTCAAGATGAGATTTGGGTGCGGACACAAAGCCAAACTTTATCACAACTCAAATTTCCACTTTGTGCTTTTCCCTCATGTCTTCTAAATGAGACTCGCAGGAGGTACAACTTTAGAAATCTGTAATTTTCAAAATTGCTTCGTTTTACTCTGTTGCAATTAGACAGTTTGGGAACCAGTGCCCTAGATGATCTTATCCAGTAAGGTAGGGTCACTGCTAATTCATAGAGTACTTTTTTGCAAATTTGGAAAAACATACCTTTTTCTGGAAAGATGTCATCTTATTAGTGTATGACCTGGCAGCTAGCGTGAGGACTAAATTTCAACTTTCTTTATATTCCCTCATGTGGGAGTTTTAGTTCATTGTTTCATGGGTATTATTATTCATTAGATATCCATATGGAGAAATAAAAAATTGGACCACAAACCCTTTTTCACACCATCCTCCTCATGACTCCCAACCTCATTTGACTCCCAGGCTCATCATGAATAAGCTTAATCTGGCAGAGTATTTAAACCAGGTGAGTCTGGAGTTAGCTAAAAGACTTTGTTTTTTTGTTTTCCTCTAAAGCAAATCTTCAATATTACTAGCACATTGCTATCAAAGGCCTTACTACTTAGAGCTAGAGGTAAAGTAGAAAGAAAATAGGAGAAAGAAAGTAGAAAGAAAAGTAGAATAAAATAGGAGAGATGGCTAAGTAGCTCTAAGTGAACCCACTTTCTAGAAAGAAAAGAAGGAATGAAAGTAGAAGTAGATGGTTGTAGCACCATTTATTTTTCCATTGTAGAGGAGTGGAAAGTAAGCTAGACAGAACTAGAGAAGACCATGCTTTTCTAAACTTCTGGGAGGAATGATTAACAAATGGAAAAAGTGATTCTGGACATGCTCTGTGGGAGAACAGAGTAACCACATGGATCAAGTGGGAGAAGGCATATATGCAGCTTTCTGGAATTTTTAATCCACTGTAATATTAATCCTTTAATTAATTTTCAATCAATTATAATTGCTTATTTCATTTTATTTTTTTGTCATAGTCTGTTGCCCAGGCTGGAGTGCAGTGGCTTAATATCGGCTCACTGCCACCTCTGTCTCCTGGGTTCAAGTGATTCTTTTGCCTGAGCCTCCTAAGTAGATTGCCAACACATTATAATTCCAGAAAATTTCCAGGTGGATAACTACCTAAATATGGAAATTTAGAATGTTAATACATTTTGAAGAAAATATAGGCACAATGCAGTGGCTTACAACTGTCATCCTAGCACTTTGCGGGCCCAACATAGGAGGATCGCTTGAGATGAGGAGTTTGAGACCAGCTTGGGCAACATGGTGAGACCCTATTCCCTGCCTTTCCCCAAAAAGGAAGAAGATATAGAATCTTTTGATAACCTTTGGGCAGAAAAGTACTTCTTAAGCAAAACACACACAAAAAACCTACTTACAAATGTGGATATACTTTAAAAATTATTTTCCTCTAAACTACCATATTTCAAAGAAATGTAAAAAGACAAGCTACAGATAGGGTGCAAGTATTTGCAATATGTTTAAGGAAATATTAAAATGCAAGATATATAAAGACATTTCATGTAAGTTAATAAGAAAAGTCACTCAACCCGACAACACCAGCAGTAACAAATGGGTAAAATAAATGATTTGACAATTTGTGGAAATAGGCAGGTGACTTATAAACATACAAAAAAGTATTTGCCCACATTAGTAATCAGGGAAATGCAATTAAAATCACATTGTGATATCTTTTTTGCACCTATATGATTGGCAGCACTTAAAGGATCTGAGCATACCAAGTATTCCGTAGGGTGTGCAGATTTGTTAATGTCTAATAAAGTTGAAAATGCTTATATTCAATTTTGTGGACATCTAGGTTGATTCCATATCTTTGCTGTTGTGAATAGTGCTGCAGTGAACATGCATGTATCTTTTTGGTAGAAAGATTTGTTTTCTTTTGAAATATGCCCAGTAATGGGATTACTGGATCACATGGTAGTTCTGTTTTAAGTTATATGAGAAATCTTTGAACTGCTTTCCACAGTGGCTGAACTAATTTACATTCCTACCAATAGTGTATAAACATGCCCTTTTCTCCACATTCTCCCCAGCATCTTTACTTAGTAATAGCCATTCTGACTGGTGTGAGATGGTAACTCACTACCGTTTTGATTTGCATTTCTCTGATGATTACTGTAGTAGAGCATTTTTTTAATGTTTGTTCGTCATTTGTGTCTTCTTTTGAGAAATGTCTGTTCATGTCTTTTGCCCAATTTTTAATGGAAATAGTCTTTTTAAAACCTTAAGTGTTTGATTAAGGTCTGGAGCGTCTATAGTCATCCCTGGGAATCCACAGGGGATTCTTTGTAAGACCTCAGTGGATACCAACATTTGCAGATGCTCAAGTCTCTTACAGTATGGTATAGAAATAATATTTGCGTATAACTTGTGTACATCCTTTCAAATAATTTAAATATTCTGTAGATTACTTATTATATGTAATACAATGTAAATGGTGTATAGTTATTTTAATTTGTACTTTTTATTGTATTACTATTTTTTTTAAATTTTTCCAAATATTTTATATCCACAATTTGTCGAATCCACAGATGTGGAACCCACTGATACAGAGAGCAGGGCTGACCATAGGTAAAAGATTTTGGATCAAAATGGTATCTTAAAAATCACATATTTTGTCAACTCATTTGTTGGAAATGATGTTGCATTATTACATAAATTAATTGTGGGTATTTTTTTTTTCCTCTTTCCAAAGAATACAAGTCAATGACCAGATTGTAGAAGTGGATGGAATCAGCTTGGTGGGTGTAACACAGAATTTTGCAGCAACGGTTCTCAGAAACACGAAGGGCAATGTCAGGTAAATATGTGCCTTCTAATATATACCATGTTGTTACTTTAGTGAATTTTAATTTTCTATAGTTTAACCTGCAAATAAATATAATTACAATGACAGTTTTATCTGAATGGTAAAACTTTGCATTTAGTTTTAAATTTTTTTTACCTGTATTATAATTAGTTTATGAAAATGGAATTTAAATCATTTAAATGGAAAATGGAATTTAAAGTACTTGTCTTCGTATCTTTCTAAAATACTATGATTTCCAGGAAGGTAGAATTTCTAGCTTTAATTTCAATAAATATGAATTTGGTCTCAAATCCTTTTAAGAAAAATAGTTATACAATATTTGAAATGATTATACATATATTCAATGATGTATGTTTTTTAGACAATCACACTGAATAAGGATAAGTATATTTTTAAATGTATGTATTATTTTAAGGAATCAGTGAGGACCAATGTTTGCTGTTTTATAACTTTTCCAACTTAATGGACTTAGGGTATATTTTTTTGGGGGGACCTTGAAATTTATATTCAGCTTTGGCATTGTGAATATTGTATATTGGAAAACAAGAAAGAAAGCAATTTGGAGCTAGTGGAAGTCAGGGTTTGAAATCAGGTATTTTTTGCTTACATGTTACTTATTTATCTTAAGTATTGCTTATATCATATACTTTTCCATACATCTTGTTTAAGAAACATTAAGGAAACATTATTTAGTATGTGTAATGATGAAAGTGGTTGAGTATCCTATTATCAAAATGAAACTGCTAAATATTCTGAAAATATTAATGAGTTGACATTGCTATATAGACAACAATGTTAGGATATTATTGCTGCATGTTTTATTTTGCCAAAGCATGAATTTAAGTTTTAGACTTTAGACTTTTTCAATTATAAATTATCTTCTAATGCTAAAGGGATGCTTTAAGGAATACAACCTAAACTACTTCTGTGGGCGCTATGTTGATGTTTCTAGAATATTCACAGCCTTGAGAAAAGTATATAAAATAATTGCAAAACTGTGTGGTGCTCTCTGAGTTGTGTGGGTGGGCCCATTCAGTACATGTGATTGTCTTTTTGAAGATCACAGTGTGTTCTTAAGACAGCACTTTCCCATGTCAATATAGAACTTGGTTTTGAAGCTGTCCATAGACTTTAAATTTAAAAATGAAATAGGTAAGATGTACATTCAACTCATAAGAACATTTCTCAGCTGGAAAATAATTTGTTGTTACATGAAACCATAGTCATCCTTTTTTTTTTCCCTCTGACTGTTGACTGCATAATCTTGTGTTATATTCAGCCTTATACAAATTTCAAATGTCTTCAAATGTCTTCTTAACTGCTCCGTCTGATTTCACATTTTCCCTTCCTCAGTCTGTTCTGTTCATCACTACTCTCATGGAAGGACATAATTACAGTTTTCAAATATATGAAGGACTATAATGGAAAAAGAAATTGATATTATTCTGTTTAACTCTAGTACAAGTTGGGTATCCCTTATGTGAAATGCCTGGAGCCAGAGTATTTCCGATTTTGGATTTTTTTTTTTCATGTTGGAATATTTGCGTTATATACTTAGTAGCTGAGAATCCCTAATGTGAGAATTTGAAATCTTAAATACTCCAGTGAGTAATTCCTTTGAGTGTCATGTCAATGCTCAAAAAGTTTTGAGTGTTCTGAACATTTTGGATTTCATATATTTTCATTTGGTATGCTCAACCTGTATAAACTTCCATGTGCAGGTGTTTTTTGTTTGTTTGTTTGAGACAGAGTCTTGCTCTGTCGCCCAGTCTGGAATGCAGTGGCACAATCTCGGCTCACTGCAATCTCTGCCTCCTGGGTTCAAGCAATTCTCCTGACTCAGCCTCCCAAGTAGCTGAGATTACAGGCATGCACTGCTATCCCCAGTTAATTTTTTTATTTTTAGTAGAGACGGGTTTTGCCATGTTGACCAAGCTGGTCTTGAACTCCTGACCTCAAGTGATTCACTTACCTCGGCCTCCCAAAGTGCTAAGATTACAGGTGTGAGCCACTGCACCCGGCCTCATGTGCAGGTTTTCGTATGGACATAAGTTTCTACTCCATTGGGTAAATACCAAGCATGGTGCACAATTGCTGTATCATGTGGTAAGTATGTGTTTAGTTTTGTAAGAAACCACCAACCCATCTTCAAAGTGGCTGTACCATTTTGTATTCCCATCAGCAGTGAGTGAGAGTTCTTATTGCTCCGCATCCTTGCCAGAATTTGTTGTCAGTGTTTTGAATTTTGACTATTCAAATAGATGTATAGTGGAATCTGATTGCTTTAATTTCCATTTACCCCTATTGTCTATTAATATTTACAATTAGTAATGAAAAGTTTCATGTTGTTATGTTTGTAGTCCTTTATAGTATTTTCTTTTTTACTCTCTCTTTTGGATTTTTTTTCTCTCATAATTGAGTTTTTGTAATTTTTATCAGGTTGTAACTAGATCTGTGTTTGCTTATTTGATTTTTGTAATTCTGCTTGGGATTCAATCCGAAGACTTGGGTCTTCAGATTTTCTATTATGCTTTGGTTATTTGCTTAATTTCTTCTGGATTGTCTTTGGCCTCTCTTCTTAAACCAGTATTAAATGGGGCTTAGCTTTTCTGGGCATATCCTCTAGAATCTTTTTTTCTCTCAGGATCTCCATCTGTTTGAATTTTTGCTAGTATGTACTAAGAGTTTCTTCAGTTTTCTCTTCCAGATTATCATTTTTTTTTCAGGCATGACCTATTTTAACTGTTCATGCTTTATTCTCCATTTTCTGTTTTTATCTCTAGCTCCATTCTCTCTGCCCAGAGCTTAAGAATAGTATATCCAGCTTCCTACTTGACATCTTCATATGGCATTCTAAAAGGCACATCAAATTTAATATACTCCAAGTATTATCCTTTAATATACTTCAAGTATTATTTGTGCCATTCCTTGTCTTCTGCCCCATATTCCTGCCTCACCCCTTCCCCCCAAAAAACCTCTGTATCACGTGACATATAATTGGCTGGTTCCACCTTATCAAGTCTCAGTTCAAATATCACTTCTTCAGTGAATGAGCTTTTCTTATATTTATGTTGTCCAAACTCCAGTTCACTCTATCTGAATTACCATGTTTTCTACATAGCATTCATTTACTAATCCTCTTCTGATCCTTTCCCCCTGGTTATTGATTCTTTTTTGGGTTTCCTACGCTGCTGATTCCTGTCTAGTACTAGTATGATGATATGAATATGAAAGTAATGATCTGTGACTTTTTTTTTTCCCATTTATTTATTTTATTGCATTTTACATTTTGGGGTACATGTGAAGAACATGCAAAATTGTTGCATAGCTTTTGAGGCTAGGTTATGAAAGGCACTGTGGCTTTCACCCTGCTCTTTTGGATCACCAATTCTAGGGAAATATAGCTGCCATATCAAGAATGCTTTCAAATTCCCTTTTGAAGATGCCCACACAGGGAGGATGTTTGGCCTGCCAGCAACCAGCACTTACTTAACCAGCCATGTGGGGAGGCACCTTTGAAGATCTTCCAGCCTTAATAAAGCATTCAGATGCCTGATTGAATTTTGTGAGAATCACCAAGCCACAATTGAACAGACAAGCCTTCCTTGAATTCTTGACTCACAGAAACTGTGAAAGATAATAAATGTTTTTAAGTTTTGGGGTAATTTGTATCAGTAGGCACAACTTATACATATTTTGGTACCTGAATCTGGGCTGCAGTTTAACGAAAAACTGAAAATGTGGGAGTAGCTTTGGGACTGGACTGTTAGTGAGGCTGCAAGGGCTGTGAGGAGAATATTAGTAAAAGCCAAAAAGACCTTATAATAATTTTTGGGAGAAAACTGTTGCCCTCTTAGAAGGCAGCTGGTGAGGGCTTAAAGAAGAAAACTGTAAATGTTATTGAAAATTGGGCTGGGCACAGTGGTTCATGCCTGGAATCCCAGTACTTTGGGAAGATGAGGCAGGTGGATCACCTGAGGTCAGGAGTTCAAGACCAGCCTGACCAACATGATGAGACCCCATCTCTACTAACAACACAAAATTAGCCCGGTATGGTGGCAGATGCCTGTAATCCCAGCTACTTGGGAGGCTGAGGCAGGAGAATCACTTGAACTTGGGAGGCAGAGGTTACAGTGAGCCAAGATTATGCCATTGCACTCCAGCCTGGGCAACAAGAGCGAAACTCCATCTCAAAAAAAAAAAAAAAAAAAAAAAATTGGAAGAAAGAGGATCTTCATTATGTAATAACAGAAAGTTTAACAAAACTTACCTCTAGTAATGCGAGAAGTAAAATAGAGACTGGGGTATTTAACTCATAAGATTTCAAGCCATAGTGTTGAAAGTATCACTAGCTCCTTCTTGCTGTATATAAATAAAATTTATGAGAAGATAGATAAGCTAAAGGAAGAACTGTTAAAAAATAAAGCAAGTTAAATAAACTAGAAAACTTCAAGAAAATGGATAAATTTCTCAGCACATATATATGGCCTACCAAGATTGAATCAGGAAGGCATAGAAAGCTGTAACAGACCAATAATAAGTGATGAGATTGAATCAGTAATAAAAAGTTTCCCAACAAAGAAAAGTCCAGGACCAGATGGCTTAAATGCCAAATTCTAGCAAGCAAGAACTAACACCAGTTCTCCTCAAACTATTCTAAAAAACTGAAGCAGAGTGACTTCTATGCAGCTCTAAAAAAGGATGAGTTCATGACATTTGCAGGGACATATATGAAGCTGGAAACCATTATTCTCAGCAAACTAACACGAACAGAAAACCAAACACTGCATGTTCTCACTCATAAGTGGGAGTTGAACAATGAGAACACATGGACACAGGGAGGAGAACATCACACACCGGGGCCTGTCGAGGTGTGGAGGGCTAGGAGAGGGATAGCATTAGGGGAAATACCTAATCTAGATGACGGGTTGATGGGTGCGGCAAACCACCATGGTATATGTATAGCTGTGTAACAAATCTTCACATGTACC